TATATATATATATTTTAGGAGGATAAAAATACTGAAAATGTTTTCGTAAAACTCCTATAGAAGTAATAAAAAATATATGCATGAATTGGAAAATATTTGATGATTAAAACAAATAATAATAATTATTTTTTTTTTAATTATTCGGATCAGTAAAATATTTTGGCTACAATTTGTTCAAAAAATAAATTCTCTTTAGGTTGAAACTGGATTATTTTACTGCAACCAATAGAATCAAATACTAGTAAATTTTCCATTTACGTAAGAAAAATCAGAAAATCTGTCAGACATCCATCTAATAAGAATAAGATAGAAATGAGCTTAACGAATAAAGAACAAGCGAGAAATTGAAAATCTGAAGAAAATAATTAATTGAATTCAGTTTGAAACTGAAAAGAAATTCCAAAGGTTAAAAGCAATGGAAAATTTGTCCAATATGCTCCTAAAAAATATAACAAAAGGAGCTTTGCAAAAATAAAAATATGCAAATATGAAATAATTGATTCAGTTTAGATTATTTCTTGTTTTACAATTAAGCAAACTCAATAAGTATTCTGAAATTATCGAAATATTAAAGAAATTTCAAAGATTTTTGTTTGTTTTCATGAGACGTAATCAATATATTGCAACCAACAAAATCCAAATAACTGTTGCAAATAATATTGAAAAGTTATAAATATTTGGAGATAATCGAGAATTCCAATGGAAGATTACACTACAATTGAATTGTGACTGTGTGTGTTGGAGGATTAAGCGAACCAAGTGAAAATTCGAAGGTAAATAAATTGATTGTCATGAACAAACATTGAAATTAATCGTTGATTAATTAATAATTATTTAATCATCTATAATAAGGATGTGTGATAGATGAAAAATATGGAAATAACAAAAAGTAAACCTTGACAAATTATTAGTATTTTACAAATACGCAGCAGAACAATAATCGCACAGTCCACGTGTAAAGTGATAAAAAGAATAATTTGAATACGTGAAACTTGATCTTGAAACAAATAAAAAAATTAAATGTTTGAAATGACAAAAATTCCATTGAAATTTATAAATTTCAAGATCAAATTTATATAATTTACTCAACTGATGCAGTTGCACATGATTGAAATGTTGTAAGAACTAATTTGTCAAAGGAAGCAAAGAAAAATCTATCATAATATTTTTTTAAAAGTTTTAAAGTAGTCTTCATAATCTACATATAAAAAGAAACAATCATGTATATTTGTCTTATAGCATAGCTATTGTACTCCATTTGAACATAACTTTCAGGAAAATGTTATAATAATGGGTTATTATATTTTTTCATAAGTAAAAGTTGGCAATGAAACAAATTGAAGTATACAATTTTGACAAACTTATATGATTATGATAGAGTATGTGTATATGATTATGATAGAGTATGTGTCAGTTGTCAATATGACAGATTGAAATTAGATGTCATTATATCAAAGTTTGACAAGGTGATGGCGTGTTAATGATGAAACTGTGTCTTAAATTGTGATTATGACATATTGAAATTTGATGCCATTATTAATCGGCATTGTCTCGATTTTTATTCTCAATTCCTGGTACCATATCTTTCAGACAATCATAAAAATATGTGTGTGATTTTTTTTGTTTTTGTTCCCAAAAATTGTATTCCCTATACAAAAATTCAATGAAAATGTATAATTTTTAAATATGTGATTTTATGTTGACAATATTTCAGTTGACAATATTTCAGTTGACAATATGACGAATTGAAATTAAATGTCGTTATGTCAAAGTTTGACAATGTCATGGTCATAATGCAATTATGTCTTAAGTTGTCAATATGACAGAATGCTACTAGATGTCATTATGTCAAACTTTGATAAAGATATAACGTGATGATGATAGTACGTATTAAGTTGGCAATATGACAAATTAAAGAATACAATTTTGACAAAATCATATGACTCTGATAGAGTATGTGTCTTCAGTCTTCAGTTGTCAATACGACAGATTGAAATTAGATGTCACTATATCAAAATTTCATTTGGTGATGCAAGTGTGTCTTACATTGACAATATGACAGATTGAAATTATATGTCATTATACCAAATATTGACAAGGTGATGACATGTTAATGATGCAACCATGTCTTAAATTGTGATTATGACAATTTGAAATTTGATGCCATTGTTAATCGGCATTGTCTCGATGGTGCTATATCTTTCTGACAATTATTAAAGTATTTATGTGATTTTTTTTTGTTTTTGTTCCCAAAAATTTTATTCCCTATACTAAAATTCAAGTAAAATGTATACATTTTTAACTATGTGATTTTATGCTGAGTTCTGATATTGTTTTGTTTTTGTCCCTTTTTCAGGTGACAATATGACGAATTGAAATTAAATATCGTTATGTCAAAGTTTGACAATGTCATGGTAATAATGCAATTATGTCTTAAGTTGCCAATATGACAGAATGCTACTAGATATCATTATGTCAAAGTTTGATAAAGACATAATGTGATGATGATAGTACGTATTAAGTTGGCAATTTGACAGATTGAAATTTAATGTCATTATGTCAAACTTTGACAAAGTCATGTCATGATTTTAATGCAACTACATCTTAAATTGACCAAATGACAGATTAAAATGAAAAGTCATTACGTTTGACAAGGTGATGATGCAACTAAGATGACAATGTGACAGATTGAAATTAGTATATCAAAGTATGACAAACTGCTGTTGATAATGCAACTATATCTTGGAAGGTTATTAACGTTTGTTATGTCCTGTATCGAAAACTATCATCAACATCAGACATATTTTTACTATCATTATAGTGTTTGTATGTTTATTGACGGACCAGATGATATTGAAAATAAAAACCTTATGTTATAATAAAACTTTGGGACATACGAAGTGGTCCGAAAACTACTGTCAAAAAATCTTGACATATTCTTAATGTGTCATCTTGTAATCATGATTCGACATCAGAATTAGTATATGAAACGATTGACATCAATAATAATTATAAAAGAAATTATAATAGAAAGCAAAAAAAAATCAACACATTTAAAAATTATTTGAGTCAAACAAAAAGGAGATCGAATTGAGTTGAAACATTTCAGGCTAGAACAAAAATGGAACAAAAAAACATTCCAATAGAGTTACAAAATTTTTGTTCATGAAAATATTTACCACAAATGAAAATCGTCATGTTATCCAATAGAGTTTGAATATTACAAATAACCCCGAAGACAATGCTGAATGAAAATATAGCATTTTTTATGTAAAAGACAACGGAAAATATTCATACTCAAAATAAGATTTCATGGACATTCTCAAAAGAAAGTAAGATATTTGTTGCAAATTTAGAAAGTGGTACAAGTTACATCACAATTTAAATTACAATCAAATTAAATCAGGAAATGTAAGTTTTTTACAGACTAAATGTGTAAACACTTAATGAAAAGACAACATTAATAATAATCGTTCAAAACATTGCAATTATTTGTTGTTTTTTTTATTGTAGTCTTCTAATTAATGAATAATGAAGATCGTTGCAATTTCTATCGATTTGACTTAACTCAAATGAGAAATGAGAGATAATTTAATAACGCTTGTTGTGATTTATACACGACAAAAGTAATTTACAGAATCAATAAAAGGATTATCTGTGTATTCAATTGCTTCAAATTTCTTATATGTTTTATTAGACTGGCTTTTGGGACTTGTTCATTGTTATCGTTAAAAATTACGTAGCAATTTATGTCCGCAGATCCGAAGAAAAGTTATGAAATCGTTTTATAAATATCTGCAATGATACAAAAAATAAATATACATTAACACTATTTGTTTACTTGCTAAGATTCACTTACCCTTTGGTTTCGAATAGCTCACGTCTAGAAACTTCTGTGTGATGATTGAATGTCTTAAGTTTCATTGATAGCCTGAAAATATTCATCAAATTATAATTTATAAGTTAATTTCATTTACTTTGAAATCTCTATATTTTTAATAAATTACGTAATAATTGATTGTGAGATTACAAATTGGAAAGTTATTAAAAATATATTAATTAAGTTACAATAAGGATTTAGAAATATAATTCGCAGAATGCGGCTTTTTTCAATAAGGATTCATTATAGTCCGGTTTGAAAATTTCGAAACAAATTAAATTTTAAAAAGTTGTAGCACTATTTTTATTTCTATAAAAATGATGATTGCCGATTTACATTTGTTTTATTCAGTTCCTCGATTAGTACGGTTTTAAATAGCCTGGAATTATGGCGAATGAGTAGATACTTCGCATAGTCCGGTTATAGTTTGCTTTAATAAACTAACTTTTGGATGAAACTAAAAACAATTACTGATAAGAATAACATTTGTCAAGAATAACAAAAGTTATACACTAAATAAATAAATTACCGAAATAAATATTATTAACGAAAATTTAGATAAGCAAGCAAATATTTATTTGTAAATGGGCTTTAACATTGACGTTTGTGTTTCAGCATAATAATAGTAAGAGTTAAAGTGGGCGTTCAATTCAAATGAAATTTAGATAATTTTTATTAGATATCCACACTGATCGAAGCCGCACTATGTGAGATGTGCATTATTTCAATATTTGTAGTATAATTAGAATAAACACTGTTTGAAACCGGACTAATCGAAAGAGAAAAATCAATAAATTCATTCAAATATATTTTGTCAATAAAAAAATTATAAATTTTCAATGCGGACTATAGTGAATCCACACTGATAGAAGCCGCATTATGCGAGATATCCATTAATTAAACATTTGGAGCTTAATTAGAATAAAAACTGTTTGAAACCGGACTAAGCGAGACAGAAAAACAGATCAATTTTATATACTAAAATAATTGTGTCTACTAATTCATTCGAATATATTTTGTCAATAAAAATTTATAAATTTTCAATGCGGACTATAGTGAATCCGGACTGATCGAAGCCGCATTATACGAGATATCCATTAATTAAACATTTGGAGTTTAATTAGAATAAAAACTGTTTGAAACCGGACTAATCGAGACAGGAAAACAGATCAATTTTATATACTAAAATAATTGTGTCTACTAATTTATTCAAATATATTTTGTGAATAAAAATTTATAAATTTTCAATGCGGACTATAGTGAATCCGCACTGATCGAAGCAGCACTATGCGAGGTATACATTATTTCAATATTTGTAGTATAATTAGAATAAAAACTGTTTGAAACCGGACTAATCGAGAGTGAAAAATCAATTAATTTTATATACAAAAATAATTGTTAGTACTAATTCATTCGAATATATTCTTTCAATAAAAAATTATAAATTTTCAATGCGGACTATAGTGAATCCGCACTATGCGAGATATGCATTAATTAAACATTTGTAGTTTATTTAGAATAAAAACTGTTTGAAACCGGACTAATCGGGACAGAAAAACCAATACATTTTATATACAAAAATAATTGTGTGTACTAAATCAATCGAATATACTTTTATTTTGTCAATAAAAAATTTCAAAGCGGATTATAGTGAATCCGCACTGATCGAAGCCGCAGTATGCGAGATATGCATTATTTCAATATTTGTAGTATAATTAGAATAAAAACTGTTTCACACCGGACTAATCGAGAGAGAAAAATCAATAAATTTTAAATTGTCAATAAAAATTTATCAAATTTTTCAAAGCGGATTATAAATCCGCACTGATCGAAGCCGCACTATTCGAGATATGTATTAATTAAACATTTGGAATATAATTAAAATAAAAACTGCGATTAAGGAGTTTCTGGTAATAAAAAAATAATCTTTAGCTTATTGTTAAAACAACTTTGCCAAAAAAAAAAACTTAATGAACAAAAATTGAAAAAATAAATATCAAAAAAGGCAGATCATTAAAAGTTTCAGGCAGTTACACAATACTTGACAAGTATCTCGCATACAAGTGTATCTTTGTAATTTACTAATTTAAATCGTTTATCAATCTAGTAAATCAATAAAAACAAGTAATTTATCAAATTATGATTAGTTTAGTCATTAACTAAATAAATTAAAATTAATGTACTTACAGTATTGATTATGCCGATTGTAATATCTTTCTTACGATGAATCTTCTTCAAATTAAGTGAACTATCTTCGATGATGTTTCTTAGTTGTTTGTTGGAAGTTTTTGCTTTTTGTTTTGTTTGAGTTTCAACCTCGAGCTACAGTTCTCAGCAAGTTAATACTTCTTGCTGGAAGCTCGAGGTTGATTCTGAACTACCGACTTGAATCAAGCCATATTTATACCATCTAAGAGACGACGTAAGCAAATTTTACCACCACGCCACTTGGAAAGAACATTTGATTACATTTGATGCGTATTTGGTGGGAGTTTGTGTATTATTCTCTTAATTATCAATATTCTCTTCCTGCATTGGAAGAGTGAAACCGAGACGGGGTTAAATAATCAACAATAAATTGAAATATTTTCTATTGTATAATATTCTGCATATTTAATAAAAAGATCATACAACATTCTTAATAGAAAAATTATAATTTAATTTTTATATTTAAATATTTTTTTTTTACTATAAAAGCAATTATGCAATAATATTCATCAATTAACATGCATATTTCATTTTGAAACTTCCAAAGATCGAAGAATATTTTCTAAATATAAATTTGATGAAAATATGAAATATCTTAATTAATTAGCTAGTAAGATAAAATTTCAAAATGAAAGATTTTTGTTATCCTTATTAAATAATTTTATGACTTAATGTTTTCTGTATATTATCATAAAATCAGTGTAAAACCATGAAATTTGAATTATACAGTAACTTAAATATTTATAAAAAAATAAACATAAATTATAGTAACAAAACGAAGGAATTAGTGAATTCGAAGTTATTTTTTGTATATCTTAAGTGTATATAATTAAGTGCTTATTTTGTATTTTAAAAAATTCTTGAATTTTTTTACAAAAATAAGTCGGAAATTATGTAAAAATACATTTTTGCTCCATTTTTTTTAGAATTATTGTCTCGAAATTTTCAAGCCGGACTATAGTGAATCCTTATTGAATGAAACCGCACTATGCGAGGTATATTTGAAGTTATTTTTTGTATAATTTATGTGTATATAATGAAGTGGATATTTTGTATTTCAAAAATTTTAAGAAATTTGTTAAAGTTGTAATTTATTAATAGCAATACCTCGCATACTTCGTGTAAACGATTCCGTCAATAATTCTAAGTGTTTGAAATCGGACTAATACAAAAAGTGATAAAATTTAAACCCAAACTGTATTTTTCAGACTAAAATAAAAAAATGGGCATAGAGAAATGTATTTACATAAAATTTGAATTTAATATTTCATTTTTGGACAGAAAGACCTATAGTTTTACAGTATTTTGCAGCAGTTAACTTCTTGTTATATTATTACGTTTATTATTCTTGTATCAAAAGGTTTAATTATTATTTCATTTTCTAAATTAAGTAATATTATAGAATACAACGTAAAAAAGTGTATTGAAAGTGTATAACAAAGAGAAATTGATTTAAAGTATTTATATTAATAGTTTGGTAGATATTATTACATGAGTTTATCGATCATTAGATTATTTGCGTGTTCGAAAACCTGAAACTTTAAACAAAATATTGTGTTCCTCGCGGAAATAAATAACATTATCAAGCGTTCTAATCTAAATAAGCAAAAAAACAATGCTATAATAAACATCCGTTGGTTTAAGTATCCACAAACTGAAACGCTTACTATAAACTCATGATAAGACTATATTAATACATATAATGAAGATAATCTGCTTTCAAATTTGCTGACTTCTGATTTATATTATAAATATTTATAATATGTTATTTGTATCTTATTTCTGTTGTTATTTGCATCACATTTTTTGTTTAGTATAAATCGAAGTAATTCTTTTTAAAAGATTCAAGAGAGTTTTACTTTTAAATAAAAATATTCAAATTATAATTTCTTGAATGTATTTTATCTTGTTACGTTTTAATTTCAAAATCGACCTAAATTTTATTAAACCTGTAAAACCAAATTAAACTTCAAACATTTTCAAGAACGTTTTGTTTTCATATAAAAAAAAAACAACAAAATTAGTCTGAAAATACACTTAAGTATTAGTTAACAATAATTTCCGATTTAATATATGTAATGAAATGTATATGTGTGTAAATTATACAAAATTTACATTATACAAATTTATTTATATAAGAATATTGAGGGCGACTAATACTCGATTGGTTAAGTCGCCCTACCCACGTGCTAATGGGCGCAGGTTCAAATCATGATCAAGCCAGGCTCTTTGTGCTTGCAGCAATAGGGCCATCGTTCATAACAGATGGACAATGAAATGAATGAGGTTCAGCATATGAATCTACAGCCAATTCAATGGACAATGACAGTGTTAAGGATAGCAGCAGATTCACAGTGAAAGGAAATAGTGGAATTGCAGAGCATCAATATACTACTGAAGTTAGCCTACAAGACGATAGCCAACCAACAAATTAGAAAAACCAAAATCATCTAATGGTAACTATCTACCGGGAAAGATTATCCAATTAATGTCAACCGCGATCTTAAATTTACTCAATGTTCACATTGATGAACAGATTGTGAATAAAATTACAGGACATGAAAAATTAAATTGTGGTAAATATTTTATATAAAGAAAGAAATTAATTAGTAAACATCCGTTGCTTCTGAAACCGTACGATAAGATTATCTTATTTAAATAAACAGAAATTCAATTCGAATTCGCTGACATACGATACAATTCGTGTTTATTAATAAATGACCCATATTATTTACAGTGAAAGTTTTTTTTTAATAAAGAAAATAAATACATTTACATTGGACTAACGACCATAGTTGTTTATAATTTATTTTTTTAAATACTATGTTTTGTGTCTCAGTTTATAAATCAGTAGAGTAAGTAAACTAGAATTATTACTAGGACTAGGTTCTTCCTAGGACTCTCCAAGTAAGACCAATATCTCAATTCGGTCCTCTGACTAAGACTAAATTATATAATACAATAATGTGTTGATTTCAAAAAGGAGCAGTTTTGAGCTTGTGGAAATGACAACCGTTTCTTTATCTAAGTTTTATGATCCTGCCCAAATATTTAGGGGCGGAAATGCTGTTAAGTGATGATTAAATAGACGCAACTATACGATTTAATGTGTATCCGTTTATATATTTGATGGATACGTGAAATATGCTTTGTAATAATTAATAGGAAAGTGGTAGACCTAACAAATATACATATAAGTTATACAATAGATTATCATAAAATGGTCGGCCACGACAAACTTATTAAAAAAATGTGACACTTGGTTTTGTATACCAATATTCAAAATATAGAAGCTGAAAACTTCAATTGGAAAAAAAGAGCATACAAATATTTATTGAAATAGTTCCAATATTTCTGTATAAAAGCATCGCGATAATGTAAACGTAAATTATACAAATTGTAGCAACAATTTCAAGAAAATTAGTGTATTTGTAAAAAAAATAATTTAAACAATCATGAGTATTAACGGAGCTATCGACCAAAGTGTTTTACTGAAGAGTTTAATTTATAAATTTATGTTTTTTTTTTCTAAAATATGTATGTAATGATATACAGTGGAACCTCGCTTAACGAACAGCTCGCATATCAAGCATTTTGCTTAACGAACAAAATGAATTGTAAGAAAAATGACTCGATTAACAAGCGACCTTTCGCATAACTAGTGACGATGAGAAAAGAAGTCCCGGATTGCGCACATTCTACATCATTTTTAAAACTTGTGTATACACATATTATGTGAATTTCAGAATATGTTTCACAATACGAGTGAAAAACTGGACATTTTGGAACGGATTAAACTTAAGCGAGGTTCCACTGTATACGCAATCTGGCTTATTTACCGAGAGCGGTCAATTTGATTGCATGAAAAATTGAAAATATTTATTGTTCGAAAATTAAACAATCGATACAAAAGAAGCAGATTGAGCCTCCATATGATTTATGAAATAAAGAGTCTCGATTACGCAAGTGTTTGATTACAAACAAAGACGAATTGAAAAATAAACTTTAGTAGTATGTACATCAACAAATAATTTTTGTTGAAAACATTCGGTATTGTTGCTTGTAATTAAGATTAATAATGACTAAAGTTCAATCAATATTTGATTAATAAGGATAATTATTAAGAACAGTTTTGTTGCAGCTTAATATTTATTTCAATAAATGAATCAAATTTATTAAAGTAAACGTGGAAATATTGCATCTTGTAAGTTATAATAAATAATTAATAAATACATCGTTGATACTGTACCGAAATCTTGAAATCAAGGATTTTCTTGATAACAATCTTGCCGGATGATGATGCAATATATGTTCCGACCTCGACGATTAGAGATTTGTCGCAAATACGTAAAAACGACAAAAGAGCATGCTATATCATTAGTCGATTAATTAAGAAATAAATTGGAAGGTTTCTGAAAGAGTGAGAAAGAAAGAGAGACACAGTTATTGAGTTGGGTAGAGTATATTGATAAGATGATGGAGATACGACAAGTGGTTTTGTGTGATAAATAAAAAATGTGTGAGTTTCGTAAATAATTAAATCATTCCCATCGCTAACGCCATTTGATAGAAATGAGATTTGGTATTTTGCAATAGATTTGCAATCGAATCGAACTCTATCACTTGTCCGCTGTCCATCACCAATATCCTATCCGAATCCATGATCGTGTTAAGTCGATGAGCTATCGTCAGCACCGTGCATTCCGAGAACTTCCTTCTGATGGTCTTCTGGATGAGAGCGTCCGTTCTAAATTGAAGAAGATTTATAGAATAAAACTGGTTGGATTATGATGATTGTTGACTTACTCTCTATCTATGTTGGCCGTGGCCTCGTCTAAAACTAATATCTTATTGTTCCTGATGATTGCTCTGGCCAAACATATGAGCTGCCTTTGACCCACGCTGAAATTAGCCCCTCTATCCATCACTTCTATATCCAGATTAGATACAAGCTTCGTATTCTTCAACTCGACATCCTCCAGAGCCCTCCACAGCTCCGTATCCGTGGCCTCCCCGAACGGATCCAAATTGTACCTCAAGCTTCCGGAGAACAGGACCGGATCCTGCGGTATAATGGAGATGTGCTTCCTCAACTCGCTGAGATCAATGTCTTGCGTATCGATTCCATCAATTTCGATTCCACCATCAATCAGAGCCAAACGGAATAACGATTGTATTATTGAAGATTTTCCCGATCCCGTCCTTCCGACAATCCCAATCTTCTCTTTGGCATCGATGCTCAACGAGACATCTTTCAACACCAGATTTGATTTCTCCGAGTACTTCATGTTCAGGTGCTTGAACTCAATCTTTCCGTCGCTCGGCCAATTCGCCAAGATCAACGGTTTGTTGTTTTTGTCTTTTTCGCTTGGCAGTTGCCTGTACTCGAATATCCGTTCTGCAGACATCAGCTGATTTGTAACTTCCGCTGATTGTCTCATGCCCCATTGGACAACTCCGGTTAACGACGTAGTTTGAGTTATGGCCAAACCGATCTTTCCAATTGCGCTCGCTGAAGAAACATCAGGTTAATACGGAGTTATGATTAGGTATATTACTTGAAATACTTTGAACCAGCTCCAGGAAACTGAAAGTCACCAAAGCAGTGAAGATGCAGCATATTAAATCCAAGTAGAATCCGAACGCTGAGCTTGCTGTTATGTACATGTACCAAGCACTTGTGTGCACGTTCTGGTGTTGATCGAATTCATCTATTAACATATTTTGGGCGTCGTAAGCTCTGATTGTTGTTAATCCTTGTAAAGTCGCGTTCAAGTGACTAAAGACAGGACTTCTCACTGCAAGTAAAAATATAAATAAGAAAATTTGCAATTATTTCAAACAAATGAATACAAAGCATTACTTAAATATAAATAATATTAAAGATTTATATAGACTAACCAGAAACTATCGGAAAAACTATTTATTTTCTTACCATATTCATCTTCAAAACATTTAGATGACACGTGATCATTGAAATCACATTTTTAGATATCAACTGTTGTTAATTCATTCTTATTTCCTGATTTTTGTAAAGTATCATTAGTCGTTTTTCTATCAAATAAAAATAGTAATATGAAAAGTTGGAAAAAAAACTGGAGCATTATTTTTTAAATTAATTATTATGTATCTAACAATTTTTATTTTTGTAAGTTGTTTTAAAATTGTTAACCATGAGCTAATTTATTGAATATTTACTATACATAACTTTTAAATAATTTAGATTATGAAATAAGAGGGGAAACTTACTTATACTTTCCAGCCGTTTGATGTTCTTCGAGGATTTCAAGAAGATCATTCTGAGTATCATGAAGATAGTGCCGATGATGGCAACTGGGATGAGGAAATGCACGTCCGACAGGATGACCAAAATGAGAGCGCCGAGCAAGTTCAAAATAATCTGCAAATGTTATCAATTTTTGGATACGTTCGACCATTAATAGTTGCTTAATAAAACTTACTTGAGCTGCATCCATGATGGCTCTTGGAAGATTCTCATCGATTGCGTTCAAATCTCTGGAGAATCTGTTCAAAATCCTTCCGCTCGGATTGACATTGAAGAAGCGCATTTTCGTGTTGACTATAGCATCGAACATTTTGGTGTGCATTTTTTTGGAGCTCCATGAGGCTAACTTGAAGAATAGAATAGACCTTAAAATTGATATGACTAGAAGCGCGAATATGAGGATCGAGTAGATGGATATGAAGTCTTCGTATTGGCTGGAAACCCAATAACTGACGAAGTAGTCCAAACCGCTGACAAAAGTTTGCGATAACAGAAATAGAAGAGCCACAAAGAAAAACATGAATGTATTCCCGCTGGATAAGTATTTGAAGAGTAAAGAGCCTTTAATTTGTCCTTTCGACGTTTGTTCCAATAAATCATTTTTTAGCGGGATCGATTGTGCGTGATGTGTTTCTTTAGGCGCTTCTTCCACAGCCTCCGTGCATTTAACCCTTTTAGCTTTCATCAGATTAGCGACACTGTCAAAATCACCTCTTGATGTTATCTCACCCTATAATGAATTTAAATTATTACTAATTAATTATATTGCTTTAGTATTTACATTATCCATAATGATGATCTCATCGGCGTCTTCCAAGTAGTCCACTTGATGCGTAACCAAAATCCTCGTTTTGTCCTTCAGGTATTTCTTGATGCAATTATCGAAAATGTGTTTGGCTACGTTAATATCGACAGCCGATAGTGGATCATCCAGTAAATAGATGTCAGCTTCTCGATACAAAGCTCTTGCTAAATTAATCCTAGCCTTTTGTCCTCCGCTTAAGCTGATTCCTCTTTCACCGACATGGCATTGATCACCTCCTTGCATATTATGAAAGTCTTTATCCAAAGCGCAGACTTTCAAAACCTCTTGGTATTTATCCTCTTGATACGCTTGTCCGAACAAAATATTTTGCCTTATGGTTCCAGAGAACAACCAAGGCTCCTGAGGAGCGTAAGATATTGAAGAGTTCACAAATATATCTCCAGAACTAACTTTGTTCTCGCCTACAAGATCATTTATTTAATATCATATAGTAAGTATATTATTATTATTCAATTACCTAAAATCGTTTTCAATAATGATGATTTACCGCATCCCACCGTACCTACAACGCCAAGCAAGCTGCCTTTGTTCACGTTCAAATTGATGCCACTTAAAATTTTCTCTTGTTTGATCACGACAGAAGCATTTCGGAAAATAACCGAGACAAGGTTCTGCACTTTCTCATCCTCGCACACGTTGTATGTGTGTTCTTCCTGATGAAGAAACTTGTCTATCCTGCTTATGATTACAGACAGTTCAGACAGTTCAGTGATTCCTCGACAGAAGTACGAAGACACACTATCTGAAAGGATGTTGAAGTAGCACATGAAGATGAAGACCGTTGCTGGTGATAACTTTGTTCCGGAGAGGGTTAATGCGACGAGGGTGAAAAAAAGGGCGCATCTGCTTGTGGTCAAGTGCAGAGCCATGAAGAGTCCTCGACAGTACGCAAGTTTCTTTACCAAATTAATCTCAGCGTATCTCGCTGCCCTGATTATCACCCCGAAAGGTTTTTCCCACGTGTACATCTTTATAACTTGAATACCGGAGATGATTTCATCCATTAGCCGAATCCTCTCATCCGTGCACTTTGCCACTCTCCTTCTGTATCTCGAAGACACGCAACCCATGACGCCTACAAAAAAAGTTACCAGTAATCAATTTGTTTATATTCGATTGCAGCTAATCACTTACTGTAGATGGGAAAGACTGTGAAGATTGGTATCAAACCAGCCAACGTCCAGTAACCAGTTTGGGCCCACAAAAAGTATGAGACAACCAACAGGGTAAACGGTGATACAATCATGTATGAGATGAAATAGGACACGTAATCGAATCGATTCACGTCGTTGGACATTAGATTCACCAATTTCCCTGAGGCCATTTCGCCCAAAGCTTCGCCTGATAATTTCAATGCCTAAAATAATTTATCATTAAATATTAAGTACAAAATTGAATCTATAAATTAATACTTTTCTGTAAATGAAAGCGCAACAGGCTGCTCGTACTCTCATCCCATAATGATAGGAATCAATCATGTATTGATTGACCAATAAGGCATTGCAGGCGTTCACCACAACAACAAAGGATCCGTACCAAAGGGCATCATCGTGACTCATCTCGCTATCCTCCTTGAAATATTCCAGAAGATGACCCAAAGCTATTGGATTCAGTATTTGAAAAGTCTCCATGAAAACAAGCAAAACTGTTAAGTATAGGTATTCGGGCCAGAACGTGCGTACCAAAACTCTTAAAAGTTTCGGATTTTTCTGTTTATTCCAGTTCCTGTAACAAACGAAAAGTGATTATTTTTATTTTTTAAATTGTTGCGGTATTATAGGCAACCAACAACAACATTTAAACTTTAACCATTTACACTCACATTCAAATTCCAAATAATATCTAACAAATTTAAACTCTATAGGAAATATATGAGGATAGACATCTTGAAAGTTTTCAAAATCAGTTACACTATAATAAATGATTAAAATACAAAAGTATCACTTATCAACTGATTGAAATAACACTGAAATACTAACTAAATCATAACTAATTTCATCAGAATTAGCAAGTACATTCGTTCAAAATTGAATTAGAATGATAGACGATTTTGAAAATTTAAATGTATTATTGCAAATACATTTTTGTTTGTTTATTTTTGACAACCTCTGTAACTAAGGGTGCACAACACCTGATATAACCAATCAGTTAGTGACAATATAGTTTGGTGACAGTGTTAACAGTGATGAAAAGCAAAAAATTAAAAATACGGACGTAAGTACAAACTAAAGTTTTCTTGAATTTGTAGTTCATGTTTGTATGAAAAAGAAACAGAAAAAAAATAATTGAGAATAATTATCTCACTCAAAACAGCTGTTCTAATATGACTACCAACTTAAATTTTATATTTAGTTTCTTATAGTTACTGCAATTATTACTGCGTTTATTATTTTCATTTCTTACGTAAAGTGTGAGTATATTAATGCTTGCAAAATATAATTGTTCAAGTTAAAAATCTCGTCTATCTTTAACAGAAAATTGAATAATAGCTTACTATTAAACGATTAATATATTTGCGTTATTTTTTAACAATTTGTAATAATTCTTTGCACAGTAATTATTGGTATATTATTTATTTAACTAATAGTGAGAACATAACAAAAAATAATGCGGTTATTTGCGCGCTTTAACGAACTGCATGCAAGTTTCCAATTTTAACTATTTACACTCACATTCAAATTCCAAATAATATATAACAAATTTAAACTCTATAGGAAATATATGAGCATAGACATCTTGAAAGTTTTCAAAATCAGTTACACTATAATAAATGATTAAAATACAAAAGTATCACTTAACAACTGATTGAAATAACACTGAAATATTAACTAAATCATAACTAATTTCGTCAGAATTAGCAACTACATTCGTTCAAAATTGAATTAGAACGATAGACGATTTTGAAAATTTAAATGTAATATTGCAAATACAGTTTTTGTTTGTTTATTTTTGACAACCTCTGAAACTAAGGGTGATAAGAGCATCAACTGCACAACACCTGATATAACCAATCAGTTAGTGACAATATAGTTTGGTGACAGTGTTAACAGTGATGACAACAAAAATTAAAAATACGGACGTAAGTACAAACTAAAGTTTTCTTGCATTTGTAGTTCATGTTTGTATGAAAAAGAAACAGAAAAAAAATAATTGAGAATAATTATTTCTCAATAGCAAAGTTGTTATTTTTGATCTCACTCAAAACAACTGTTCTAACACGACTACCAACTTAGATTTTATATTTAGTTACTGCGTTTATTATTTTCATTTCTTGCGTAAAGTGTGAGTATATTAATGCTTGCAAAATATAATTCTTGAAGTTAAAAATCTCATCTACCTTTCACAGAAAATTGAATAATAGCTTACTATTAAATGATTAATATATTTGCGTTATTTTTTAACGATTTCTAATAATACTTTGCATAGTAGTTATTGGTATATTATTTATTTAACTAATAGTGAAAACACAACAATAAATAATGCGGCTATTTGCGCGCTTTAACGAACTTGGGCATATCATGTTTGGGTTCTCAAATTGCATAATTGTCCTTGACTATTTTCCATCTATTTTCATATACTTTGTAATTTAATAGTAATAACGGTGTTATTTTCTTTTACCGCGATTTATAAGGAACCAATTAGAATTGAAATTCGACATAAACAAAAATATCCTTGAGCGTTAAAATAATTAGTTATATTTTAAGATTTACAATATTTTCTTTATTATGAAGCACTCTTATCGATATTGTTCCAAAAAATACTATATACATACGCCAATGATAAATGGCAATAATTTCACTTAAAAACATAGATAATTTCAAGGTTGTTTACTGAACCAATTGTTCAACACTTCAACAATAGTCAGCACTTTAGTTTACTATCTTGTATTGAATAGATTGTCGTAATAAAATAGAAAAAAAATATTTTTTCTTACTTTTCTAGCCTCCCAACAAGCAACTCACTTCGATCGGCCGACAAAGGTTCATACAGATCTTCGGCCTCAAAGTTCTTTTTGCATCCCTTCCTGAACATATCCAGGGTGTATCTGAAAACGAGAACAAATTTAATACAGGTTGTTGTTTTTCTTTTTAAATCTTTAACAACACGTTTGTATATTGGAAATGATACAAAACATTTGTCTATAAAATTAGTGGAATTGGAAATTTTATAATACAGAAGGAAAAAAAAAACAGTTTTTTTTTGTTTAATTGTCCGGACAAACAGAAGGAATTAGCGCCTATGTTTTCCCATCATTCAGTTTGTTGAAATGTACGTGCTTCATTCGCGGAACAAAAGTTAATTTATTGTGTCAACAAATAATATTAAAAAAATAGGAAACATAATTAACCGCAAATCTAGAACGAAATGAAATCATTTGTAATAATACACTTATTATCTGCGTAGATTTAAATTACATTAAACAATATTTTTTTTATTATAATTTCTTCATCTCTTTAGTCTATTAGTTGACTTTTTTTAAGTTTTGATTTTGATTTCAATATTACAAAAAAAAATAGTAGAATTATTTTTCTATTTAGAAATAATCTATTTTGCCCACCTCTATAAAGTAACGTAATTTTTTGCGCTTTTTATTTGTCCTCGATTAGTCCGGTTTCAAATAGTGGCGAAACCGATTACCCGCACTATGCGAGGTATTCCTTTACTACAGTATTTAAATAAACGGCACATTTCAAAACCTCTTTTAAACGTATGGTAAAATTCAGAAAATCAGTTGAACATATAGTATTTACATTTTTACATAATAGAAAATTCTGCAGAAGATTTCTTAACTTTAACACTAGACAGTGCACGAGGTTTTCCTATATATTAATAAATAGTAAACAATTATTTTTTTAAGTTCAAAATTTTATAAAATTTTAATATTATTAACGAATTAATTAAAATTAAATATATCAAATTGTTTAATTGATAATTAAAAATAGATCTGTCTAATTGCGGTACTTTATTATGCAATTTAAATAGGAATTATGTAAACTAAATTAAAGCGAACAGTATTATCTTTACGTCTGATGTCTGTACAGATATGGAAATTGTATTGTATTTTTGTATCGTTGAACTTTGATATATGAATATTATTAATTTGATATTGTAAGTAACTAATTTTAAATATTATATTATAGTTTTTTTTGTTTGTATGATGTTATAATGTACATTCTTTTATAATAAGTGCATTTCTGATTGAATTATTAAAATTTATCTAATCGAAAGAATTTTAACTATAAAAATAGATCACAACAATAACTTGCACAGTCCGAGTAATTGACTTTTGTCTGGACTAATTTTTTTAGAATTTATTTTGATTCAAATTTAGTGAATCCGTTCTGATCGAAGCAGCACAATGCGAATTTAGCAATAGTATTTGTAAATTTCCAAATATTTTAATTAATTATAAATGTATCTAACAATAACATTTTTCAATAAATTAAAAAAAATAAGACACGTTTTTGTTTATAAATTATTAATATTTTTTTGTATTGATAAATAGGACAATACTTAAAATCCATATTTATTTGCCTTATTTACTTAAAATAAACATTCAAGAAAAGAAAAAACAAATCTAATTTGTGATTGTTAATATACATGTTAAAAGATTTAAAAATTTGCAGCATTTGTCTAAGAACTAAATTCCAAATAAAAAATTGAAATATTCGAAATAATAAATACAAGGGGACAAAAAGGGTATTTTTTGTATTATCATTGAAAATGTTTTATTTAGTTTTTTCTTCATTGTTGCAATAAAAATTATTATTTAAATACAAAGTTAAAGATTAAAATAAAATTTAGTTACATTACAACACATACACATATTGTGTCAAATTTGACATTTAACTTTGTCTTTAGTTACATTACAACTTATCTGGGCAATACTAGTCCGCGGGCCGAATTTGGCCATACACATTTTTTTATTCCGATTTGATTTTAATTATTAATAAATGTAATAAAAAGTAGCAACTTGTTCCAATAAAATTAATATGACGTACATATAAACAATATCTGTCAAATTTGACCTTACATTTTATCAGAATTGTATGATTATATTTAATGACCAATGAGTTGATGAAGTTTTGAAAGAAAACTAAAGTGCTTTAAAAACTTTTTTGATGATTCCTATATTATTAAAATTATTGTTACATATAATGAAATTCTCTAGTTTCACAGAAATAAAAATAAATCAATTTTGTTTTAAAGACTTCGATTAATCCGGATTCAAACAGTGCGGGATATTTGTACTATGCGACTTAATCCTGTATAATTTAATTGTATTTTTTTTGTTACAAAAAAACAATTTTGTTTTAAAGACTTTGATTAATCCGGATTCAAACAGTGCGGAAACTTGTAGTATGTGAGTTATTCCTGTATAATTTAATTGAATCTTATTTGTTACAAAAATCAAAGACTTTGATTAATCCGGATTCAAACAGTGTGGAAATGTGTAGTATTCCAGTTATTCCTGTATAAGTTAATTAAATGTTGTTTGTTACAAAAATCAATTTTGTTTCAAAGACTTTCATTAATTCGGATTCAAACAGTGCGGAAACTTGTTTCAAAGATTTTGGTTAATCCGGATTCAAACAGTGCGGATACTTGTAATATGCGAGTTATTCCTGTATAATTTAAATGAATCTTATTTGCTACAAAAATCATAGACTTTGATTAATCCGGATTCAAACAGTGTGGAAATTTGTAGTATTCCAGTTATTCCTGTATAAGTTAATTGAATGTTGTTTGTTACAAAAATCAATTTTGTTTCATTGACTTTGATTAATTCGGATTCAAACAGTGCGGAAAATTGTAATATGCGAGTTATTCCTGTATAATTTAATTGAATCTTATTTGTTAAAAAATCAAAGACTTTGATTAATCCGGATTCAAACAGTGCGGAAATGTGTAGTATTCCAGTTATTCATGTATAAGTTAATTGATTCTTGTTCATTACAAAAATCAATTTTGTTTCGAAGACCTTGATTAATCCGGATTCTAATAGTGCGGAAACTTATAGTATGCGAGTTATTTCTGTATAATTTAATTGTATCTTATTTGTTACAAAAGTATGAATGTTTTGAAGAATTGATAGTTTCCTTATTAATTGAATTAATATATGTAATTTCAGAAATGAAAATTTAACAAATAATGGTTAAACCATTCAATAAACAGTAATTTTCTAATAGAAAATGATTAATTTAATTATATTAATTGTTGTCTACTTTTTTTAAATTACGGAAATTCAACGAAGATTTTGTATTAAATACGTTACAATCGCTATATTACTATTTTAGTTATTACAGAAAACAATATGTTTCAAAGATTTTGGTTAATCCGGATTCAAACAGTGCGGAAACTTGTAATATGCGAGTTATTCCTGCATAATTTAATTGAATCTTATTTGTTACAAAAATCAAAGACTTTGATTAATCCGGATTCAAACAGTGCGGAAATGTGTAGTATTCCAGTTATTCATGTATAAGTTAATTGAATGTTGTTTATTACAAAAATCAATCAAAAAAATCAAAGACCTTGATTAATCCGGATTCAAACAGTGCGGAAACTTGTAGTATGCGAGTTATTGTATAATTTAATTGTATCTTATTTGTTACAAAAGTATGAATGTTTTGAAGAATTGATAGTTTCATTATTAATTGAATTAATATATGAAATTTCAGAAATGAAAATTTAACAAATAATGGTTAATGTATTCAATAAACAGTAATTTTCTAATAGAAAATGATTAATTTAATTATATTAATTGTTGACTACTTTTTTTAAATTGCGGAAATTCAACGAAGATTTTGTATTAAATACGTTACAAATGCTATATTACTATTTTAGTTATTACAGAAAACAATATGTTTTTCTTGTAAAATGATATTTTAGAAGTAATAATTGTAAATTAAGTCAAGAGTTTTCAGAAATCATGCAAACATGATAAACCTAGCATAATTCGAGAAATATAAAAAGATTGATTGTATACAATTTTTTTTAAATGTATTTTACTCAATTAGTTTATTTTGAAATTTTCAAACCTGAGGTGAATCCGGACTGATAGAAGCCGGACTATTTACAACTGTACAAATACAAGATTACCTCGTATAGTACGGGTAATAGGTTCTGTTAATATCCCGCACTGTATGTAACCACAAAAATTTAAAACCGCGTAAAGAGACTTTTTTTTAATTAATTTTTATTTTGTTCAATTAAAATTCATTTTGATTTGATATATTCAAACCCGACTTCAATGGATTCGCACTATGAGAATTATTGATGTATTATATATAATAATCTGAAGAATTCTTAAATGATTTGATTTTAAAACGATAGAAAAAAAGTTTTGTAAAAATTTAAAAAAAAAAACTTACGTGAAAAACAGAACGGAAAATATGTTCGCATTTTCCCTGGGATTTGTTTTGGAGGTTGCTTTCGGATCCGCGGCGTTCGTGTTCATGTTGGGTTGGAGGAATAGCTACAACAACCTATTGGAAAACCGGCGAAACGCTTTTATATAGCTTGCATCCAATTATCATCATTAGTCGTTTGCTAATTTCGACGTGTGCTAACCTACGATCATCAACCAAACCTCAAACAAAGCTCACCTACTGCTCACCTCTTTACTTTCCACACTTACGCATTTATATAGAAACAATAACAAATCTTTTGTTTAGATTTTTATTTTGTCGTCGTCGTTGTAAAATGAACATTAATTTTTCAATTAGTACTTCAAACTTAATATCTGCAATTTTTAATTTATTTTTTTTGATAATAGCCTATAATTAATAATAACGTTTTTGTAAACTTATCAATTTTCATTAGTATTTGATAAAAAAAATTCAAAATAATGTTATAAATCTAAAAATATGTTTTTTTTAATTGAATTCTTTGATGATTAATTAAATAAATTAAGTTTAAAAAAATCTAATTAATAAATAAGTTCATGTCATTATAATATTTCTATAAATCAGACTTAAATGAATGTATCAAAACTAACCCGAAACGTATGTATTGCGAAGTAAAATGTTACAGTTTCTCTGCAATAAATATATATTATTAATAATAAAAAAAATGGAAACAATGAAACACAAAACGAACAATGGTCGATAACTCGTTTACTGCAGATTCATGTAATTATTCATCTATTTCACCGGACATTTACTTCCATTGATTGCTTTTATGTGCGTATTTTCGTTCTCAATTTATGTCGCTATTAATTCTTCTCGAACATACACAATTCTCCTAAACATTAAAAAAAACATTTCTTGCAGAAAAAAAAAATATTTTTTTCTTTAATTGCGCAAATAATTATCGTTTACAAATAAAAAATGCAAAACAGCAAATTATCATTTAAATTTGATTGTAAGCTAATTGTTTGTAAGCTAATTTATGTGAATTATTATTTGGTGAATTATTAATTTAACAATTAACATTAACAATAAAACAAGATGGGCCAAAGTCACTTTACCAATTGAAAGAAAATAACTTTTACAACTTTTATATAATATTTAACTAATCGGACTAATCGAGGAACCGCACAAAAAGAGAATTGATTATGTATTAAAAAATAAATTGTGTGTACTAATTTCTCTATAAAATAATTCTATATAAATAATAAACATCAATTATGGAAAGAAGTAAAAAAAAATGCAATTCATGTGACCAAAAGGGATGTGGACCTTGGTAATATTTTTTTTTAAAATTATCATTTAAATGTTCTATTTGTAACTACATAATAAATAGTATATGTATATAAGGCAAAAAATTGATTTCGTCTTATCGTATTATTTTTAAATAATTTATTTATCATTATTTATAAGTTTCTAGTGAAAAATTATGTGTGAAACATGTTTTATTTAATACTTTAACGAATGCCGCAGTCTTCATATATATTCATGGATATTATTATATTTTTGTTTTAGTAGTATTAGGAGGACATTGAACTAAACAATTTCTTTCTTTTTTAATAAAATGTAGTGTATGTAGTCTAGGAACATGTATATTATTTGTGGAATAATACATGATTCAAAGATACGGCCTTATTTCCTTGTTTGAGGGTACGAATTGTCCAAAATCTTCGGTATTTGTTCTCAATATTTATGGGTAATTTTGCTAATCATATTGGCTTGCAAAACCGGTTAACTGTTTAGCAGTAAAAGAAAATCTCAGTAACATTGAATGCTCTTATTAGCAAAGATTTTGTCTCAAACGATCGGTATTTGTTGTCAATAATCATATTGCCAATAAAACTAATTAAACGTTTAAGAGTAAAAGAAAATCTTAATTACATTAATCGGCAAAGATTTTGTCTCAAATGATCAGTATTTGTTCTCAATATTTACCGGTAATCATATTGACACGTAAATCCGGTTAACCGTTTACCAGTAAAAGAAAATCTCAATTGCATTTGATGGTCTAATTGGCAAAGACTTTGTCTCAAATGATCGGTATTTGTTCTCGATATTTACCGGTAATTATATTGACTCGTAAAACCGGTTAACCGTTTACCAGTGAAAGAAAATCTCAGTTACATTTGATGCTCTAATTGGCAAAGACTTTGTCTCAAATGATCGGTACTTGTTCTCAATTTTTACCGGTAACTTCGATAATTATATTGCCAATAAAACTGATTAACCGTTTACCAGTAAAAGAAAATCTTAGTTACATTTGATGCTTTAATTAGCAAAGACTTTGTCTCAAATGTTCAGTATTTGTTCTCAATATTTACCGGTAATCAAATTGACTCGTAAAACGGGTTAACCGTTTACCAGTAAAAGAAAAACTTGGTGATATTGGATGCTCCAGTTGACAAACAATTTGTCTCTAACACTATTATAAATTAGCTGATTGTTATTCAAAAAACAAATCGTTTACCTTTTAATGGAACACCCTACATTTTATAAAATATAATGTCTTATTAATTAAATTAATTAATAAAATAAGTAAACTATCAAGAATTAAGTGTTCTTAAAAAATATAATTATTTAATTATTTTAGTTTTTTTCAACTAAAAAAACTAATAATTGTGATATGTAAATCATGTTTTGAGCGATAAATTCATTGTCTAATATAATAAATTAATTTATGCTTGGATAAGTTAGATTATATGAAACAGTTTATAAATATAAAACAATATATGTTTTTTTCTTTTCTGTATGGTTATTTTTGGGACGATAAAACAATATTCAATTTAAACTAAATAGAATTGTTAATTGATATTAGCTAATCAGTTATTAAAAGTTGTATTATCAATATAAAAGTATATAGTTTTTTTTTAATATTTTCTGCCATCTTTTCGATGTTTATCAATCTCCATAATGCAATTTGTTTTGTTACTCTTATTTCGGACATTATCATATAGACCAGGGGTGGCCAAACTGTGGCTCGCGAGCCGCATGCGGCTCTTCTTGTTGTGGCTAGATGAGCCACAGCAAAACACAAAGTCTGGCCATCCCTGATATAGACCAACTGTTTAGAAAAGCGTAAGTATACTTGTTTTTATAAATATGCAATAACTTCATTTAGGTAAGAGATTTCTGAAAAGCGAAAATTCTGATATATTAAGGGCACCGCAATTTTTTTTTTGAGTAACCTTGATGTAGACAATTGTTAAACAAAAGAGAAAAAATGCACAAATAATTAACTTTAGACTCACGTTTTAAAAGGTGATTTCACATTGTATATAAGTTGATGATTTATGTATTAAAACTTTGTTCCATAAAATGAAGGAACGTATCCCATATCCGTTCTAACTATAGTATTATTTACCTCTGCTTAACGAAGTAATTTCGTGAAACGCATCCTTTTTCTTAATCGATGCATGACTGTATAACTATTGAATTTAATGTTTGGTAGTCTAGCTCTGCTATGTTTAAAACTAATTTAACCCATACTGCGTCTAATGGGCTATATATGACCCATGACTACTAACAAATACTAAAACGTTGCAAACACATACTTTTAGTATTACTAAATGCCCCACTCGTATTGTAGGGTTTTAACAATATTTCAATGCATAATGTGTTATGATTCATACGAACAGGTCGTTGCAAGTCTAGCATAAAGCTATCAACTACATACAGACACACTGTGGTCTCGCAAGTTTCTACACATTTTTAAGTAAATTTCATTGAGTGAATTGTGTTTTTAACATGAACATGTAAGAGTTTAGAATAAATAGTTAATAAAATTTATAGTTTTTGATACATACAGTTATCTTAGCATTTTAGTAAATTTAGCAGGAAAACGATAGCTGTTCAGGAAATATTAAGTAGTATGAATATAATGCTAATTTTCAATCAAAATTGTATCTTAGCAATAGAAAATATTGACCAGTATTACAGCAGAACAATCTAATTGCATACAGTAATTTTTCTTGTATACATTTTCATGTAAGATCTATGTTACAATTATTCAAGTATATTTGTAACATGTGTAAGACCTATTTAGAGTCACCTTCATTAAAATGTATTTTTAGTTTAACATTTGTTAATGAAATGACACCTACTAAATATTTTTTGACTTGCTTATTGTATTAATTTTTACAAATAGATAATTTAAATTTAAACAATAGATTTGTTTAAGTAATATAAATTCAGTATACAAGTATAAACCTATATGATGTAAACTAACAGTAAATTGTTTGATTTAGTCAAATATTGTCCTTTTACAAGAGTGTTTTACTGTACATTTCAATAGTAATTATAAGATTAATCTTTATTTTGCATAAGCTTTCCAGTTTTCCTATTGTAAACAAGTTCTATTATATTATATTTAAATCCTGATTGATTAATCACAATCATAAAATATTGAAACACGAGTTCAAATATAAATTTATATCTTGAACTGAAATTACATTAGAAAATAATTGTAAGTATTCCCCTAAATTATAATTTTTTTAATACATTTTTAAATAGAGTATGGCGAAAATATGACCTGAAATTGATTTTGATGAAGTTGGAAAATTATCGAATACAGAAAATGTTTTCAGTGTAAGATTTAGAAAACATGCTTTGCGAAAACCAAGAAAATTAAGACGAAATTATAGAAGTTTCTGCCAAAAAAATGTTATCAATCAAAGATTTAAAAGCATCCTTAAATGATATTGACAACGATTTTTCTTTACTTAAAATGATCCTGATTTAGGAGGAAATGTTATTGTTATATAATCAGTATAGTACGAATAGGCAATTGTAAAATGAAAGAGAAAAAAACAAAAATAAGCAACTAAATTATTATTTTTTTTTTAATTTTATTTTACCTCTGAGCCTTCGTATCGTTTAACAAAGTAATTTCGTTAATCGAGGTAGGACTGTATAAAAGACTTGGAAGTTGAAGGACTCTTTTAATCAATTTGGGGACAATAGGATTCAGACAAATTTAAATGAATTTGAACTATGTATGAAATATATGCAACCATACAAACAATTATTATATAAAACATTAAACAGAAATGAAACAACTCATGAAATAGATAAAGATAGGACAGACATTTATTAAAATAGTTTTATTTACAAAACATACACAATATGTTTGAGAATTATCTTACAAGTGTATAATGAAAATATTTTAGTAACTTAGTAAATATGAATGTGAATTTTTTTAAGTAAAATATTTTTCTTCACAAAATATATCTCCCATAAAATAGAATATGTATACATATATAAATATATTTATTTAATTTATTTTCTCATTGTTTCTTTGGACAAAATAAAATTCCGATCATTAGTTTTTGTTCTTAAGACCTAATAACAAAAAAAAACGTGTATATAATAATAATAACGAAATGGCAGACTTAATTTGAATACACAGCCTTCAATTATCCGCTCATTTTTACCTTCTATTTCTGTAAATATATATATATATATGTAAAGCACCATTTGCGACACTTCTTGAGTAAGTACGACGAAACGCGAAAACAGAAAATCAAGGAACATCCATAATTTATTTAATATATTACCATTTCCGGTGAACGCGTTGCGGTTGAGTTAAGGCACTTTTTCAGGTTGGAGATCAACTCTGTTTTTATTTTAATTTATTATTTGTTTATGTTTCTTCATTGTTCGTTTGTTCTTTTTTTTTCAATTGTTATTCTTGAACTTCGTTCTTGCGATGGTAGCTTTGTCGCGCGATTTTCTTCAGCTGCTCGGACATTGTTTTGCCTGTTGATTTGACCATTTTGTAGAATTTGCTGTGGCGATTGGAAAGCAGCTCATGGGGATGATTATACTCGACTATCGTTCCTGATTCCATGACCACAACTTTATCGGAATCCATGATGGTGTCCAGACGATGGGCGATGGTGAGAACCGTGCAGTCGGCGAATTTCTGGCGAATCGTCTTTTGGATCAACGCATCCGTCCTAAAAAAGTAATAAAAGTGTGATTAAAGAATGAATTTCAATTATTATTAAATTGAACTTACTGTGGATCAACATTGGCTGTGGCTTCATCCAATAGGAGGATCTTGTTGTTCCTGACGATAGCTCTAGCTAAACAAATCAGCTGTCTTTGCCCGACACTGTAATTGGATCCACGATCCATAACTCTGTTTTCCAAACGATTAATTATGTTCGCTGTATCCTTCAGTTCCACCTGAAATTGTTATCAATATTATTTTGGGTGTAATTTATTTAATTTTGAGACAACTCACGTATTCCAGCGCTTTCCAAAGAACGTCATCGTTGTATTCCTCGAAGGGGTCAAGGTTGTAGCGCAGAGTGCCTGAGAATAAGACCGGATCTTGAGGGATGATGGAAATCTGCGATCTCAGCAGTTGCAAGGTGATTGAGTCGGTGTCGATGTCGTCGATTTCGATTTCGCCCTCGATGAATCCCAGCCGGAACAACGCGACAATAAGCGAAGATTTCCCGGCTCCCGTACGACCGACGATTCCGACCTTCTCTTTTGGTTCAATGGTAATGTTGAGATCTCTAAGCACTAAAGGCATTTCCGGAGAGTACCTAAGTCCCATGCCCTTGAAAATGATCTTTCCTTTGCTGGGCCATTCGATGTGTGGTTTCTTCGGTGTGAAAGGTTGCTTCTCTTCTTCGAGCATGTTGTACTCCATCACACGTTCCACCGACATAAGCTGATTGGCAACTTCGGCCGATTGTCTCATGCCCCATTGGACAATACCGGTTAAAGCTGAAGCTTGGGTTATCGCCAAACCGACATCTCCTCCAGACATAGCTGTACACAAAACAAGATTAATTATAGAAATATTAACACAATTTTTTATGCAATTACCGTCGCCGAATGTTAAAAAGCTGAACGTAACCAAAGCCGTGAAAATGAAGCAGAGGATATCCAAATAGAATCCGAAAGCAGAGCTAGCTGCGATGTACATGAACCAAGCGCTCGTGTGCAAATCCTGGTGCTTATCGAATTCCAATTTCAGCGTATCCTCGGCGCCATATGCTCTGATTGTTGTTAAACCTTGGATGCTGGCGTTGAGGTGAGTAAAAACTGGACTCCTCACTGAAATAATCCAATTTTTAATGTTACATCATATATTTAAAAAAAAGGTGAGTACTTACTCATTCCTTCTAAACGTTTAATGTTCTTGGAAGACTTGAGGAAGATGACCCTGAGCATGAGGAAAATCGAAGCGATGACCGCAACCGGAACCAAGAACAACGGATTCACCATGGCGACGAGAATCAGCGACCCGATCAATAGTAAAATAATTTGGCTGGCGTCCAAGATGGCCTTGGGTAAAAGCTCGTCGATCGCTCCGATGTCTTTGGAGAACCTATTCAAAATCCTACCGCTCGGATTCGTATCGAAGAAGTGCATGGTCGTGCTGACGATGCTCTTGAACATGGAGTCGTGCAACTTTTGCGAACTCTTCATTACCAGCTTGTAGAAGAGCAGTGATCTGATCAAGGCCAATAGGAAGAGGGCGACGATGAGGCCGGCGTAAATGTACAAATACGTGTCCGTTTCTAGGAATTCCTTGAGCTCGCCGTCGCTGTTTGTCAAATTCGCGTATCTGAACTCTTCGATGTTCGTCCAGTAGCTCACGAAGTAATCCACCGAACTTGCAGCGGTTTGAGCCAAAACGTAAAGAGAAATCACGACCATCACGAAGAAGCAGTTTCCTCCAGCCATAATGTACTTCAGGAAAAGCGATCCCTTGATTTTTCCCCTGGAACTATCCTCGAGCATATCTCTGCTTCTCGAGTCGTTATCTTCATCGTTGGGCTCTTCGTAAAGGCTATCAACGAGACTGGTTTCGCTGTGCGCACTGGACATTGATGCAGTTTTACTCTGAAATTTCATTAATTTTATTAATAATTAATTATCAATTTAAACAATAGTACTTACTCTAGTTGAGATTTGTCTTGAGACCTTAGCTTTTTCGATGGATTTGCTTAGTTCGTCATCATTGGATTCTGGTTCTTCTTTGAGTAATTTAGCGTATTTGATGTCGGTGTTGTTCGCCAAATTGCTGAAGTTTCCTTCGGTTTCGATCTCTCCCTCATTGAATATAACGATGTGATCAGCGTCCTTCAAATGATGCACTTGATGCGTCACCAAAATCCTAGTTTTGTTCTTCAGGAAACCGTTCAAGCAGTGTTGGTACAAGTGCTTAGCGACGTGGATGTCAACAGCGGAAAGAGGATCATCGAGAAGGTAAATATCTGAATCCCTGTAAACGGCCCTGGCTAAATTGATTCTAGCCTTCTGACCTCCACTCAAAGACGCTCCACGATCTCCCACGATCGTCATATCGCCATTATCGAATTGCTTGAAGTCTTTTTCCAAAGCGCACGCCTTCACCACCTCCTGGTACCTCCTCTTATCGTAACTCAAACCAAAAGTGATGTTCTGTCTAATCGTTGCAGCAAACACCCACGGCTCCTGCGCAGCGTACGAAAGCTTTCCATTGATTATAACATCGCCCGATTCCACATCCAACTCTCCCAGAATCGTCTGCAGCAGAGAACTTTTACCGCTTCCTACGGGTCCGATGACTCCGAGCAGTTTTCCTTGCTGCACGTTCAGATTCACCTTCTTCAGAGCGCTTTCCGTTTTGGTCGCATCCCATTTCGCTGTTACGCAATTCATAGCGACAGCAACATCAGCTTGGCTCTGTGCATCGTTGTTATTGCTGTTTCTGCTGGTATCTGAGAACTCGTCGTTCATCAGGAACTCTTGGATCCTCTTTATGGACACGAAAAGCTCCGCGATTTCCGATATTCCGCGAACGAACATTGATGTCATCGTTTGCGATAAAATGTTAAAGTACGACATGAACACGAATACCTAGAACGAAACGCATAATAAAAATCAAACATCAATTAAAAGAAAGTGGATGTGAATCTTTCTGGCTTCTCCATGCTAATGAACGTGATGTGGATACGCCTACGCAATCTAGGTTTTATATGAAAGAGTAGTGGAATCTGATAGGAACAGTGGCGTTCACTTTCAATTTTCAACCTACATCAATTGATATTTTACTTCTTATTTAAGAATTTTAATGTGTTTAAATTATTTTCATTCACGAATTTTTTCATTTCTAAAACTTATTTATGTCTAATAATTCAAATAGAATATATATTGAAATACACAATCAAATTTCAAATTTTCAGAAAAAAAAACCTTCTACAAATCGGTAATTTTACAACACAATTACACAGATACAACTGTAATTTTTAAATAGATGATTTCTTGAAGAAACAAATCTTTGCAGAAATTAAAGCTTTCAAAATGCATTCAAAAAATGTATTATTTCGAGAAGATATTTTTTTTATATATTTTTAAAGCAATCTGACATTGATATGAATGTGGTAAAAGTAAGTTAAAAAAGGACACTATAGAATAATTAATGAAGTGAAGATCCAGCAACCCCACTTCACAAATACGATAATTTTTTATGCACTTGCACACATTAATAATGAATAATTAAAATCGGTTTAGTAAATCTTGTGGTTTAAATCCCTTCAGTCTTCGACGATGCTCTGCAGTAGGCATCAGCACCATAGCCAGTTGGTTTGGGTGATTCTCTAGCCGATTATGGTATCTTGTGCTAGCCTTTGCTATTTCTTCCTTGACGAAATTGATGTTAGCTTGCTTATGGTTATCATCGTTTATGAAGAACCATGGAGAAGATATTACTCGGTATTTTTAGTTTACGTTAAGTTATGAGATATAAGAAATAATTAATGTAGGAATTAATAAGAACTTAGTGTGCGCCACTGGAAATAGAGACAAGCGTTCGCAATTAAAACGCAAATTAAAACAGGATTCGGTCACTGGACATCTCAATAAATACAATCTAACATTGTACGAACACGGATGGACAGGATCGGATTCAGTGTTGTTTTGCTATATTATTTGTGAAGTATGATCTTGATATAGAAATGAAAAGAATGTATTGAATCAGCAGTTCTCAACCTACGGGTTGTTACATTATTTATGACAGCTGTCAAAAAGTTTTATAAATAATGGCAATTCAATTCAAAACAATTATGTTATGTAACACGGAAAAAAAGGAGTGGAGTGTTTGTTATAGTATTTTTTATGACTTCAATTGGCAGACCATTAGCACTTACGGTTGTTGCGGTGATGGGTTTATCGCTAAGAACAAGAGTAATTAGGGAGCAGAATAGGGCGACACGAGTCGTGAACAAGTTGAACGTCATGTAGAGACCTCTCAGGTAAGAGATTTTCGTGACTTCCTTCAGTTCCTTCACCCTGGAATTCTGGATAAGCTTCTCGAACGGTTTCTCCCAAGCGTACATCTTGATCACCTGTATTCCCGAGATGATCTCGTCCATGAGCCTCACCCTCTCATCCGTCTTGTACGCCGTGCGTCTTCGGTACTTGGAAGACAGTTTTCCGGTGTGCACTGAGCAAGAAATTATTCAAATTAAACTGTTACTGTTATTGCTTCTGCATGTCTCAATTACCTTGCAATGGTACCACCAAGAGCACCGGCAGAATTCCGATGATTCCTGCTAATCCTGCTTCGCTCCACAGGAAATACGTGACTATACACGAGCTGAGCGGCGCAACCCACATGTGATGGATTAAAATGGAAACGACATCGAAACGGCTCACATCGTTCGACAGCAAGTTAACAACTTTACCTGAGGCCGTCTCGCCCAAAGCGGTCCTGCTCAATTTTAAGGCCTGCAAAATGATGTATCATTATTATTGACCCTTTTTTTTTTGCTCATCTTACGAGCCTTACTTTTCTGTAAATTAGAGAGCAGCACGCGGCTCTCACTCTCATCCCGTAATGGAAGGCCCGAAAGATGTATTGGTTGATCATCAAGGCAGAACCGGCGTTAACGCCCACGACCGCTGCGGCATACCAGAGGGCATCTTCCTTCGGCATGTCGCTTCCGGGACGGAAGTACTCCAGAAGCTTGCCCAACATCAAAGGTTGGATCAGCCGCAAAATTAGGTCCATGAATGATAAGAGTATCGCGAGGAGGAGATACTCGGGCCAGAAGGTTTTCACGAGCACTTTCCCTAGGCTCGCGTTCGATTTACGTTTTGTGGCATAATTTGTCTCTTTTGTCCAATTCCTGTTTTATTAATGAAAATGAAATAAAGATTGATTTAATGAATGCATCAAAAATACTTACTTTTCAAGCCTGTCGCCCAGATGACTGCTCTTATCCGCATTCAAAGGATTGTACAGATCGTCAGGCTCCAGTACTTTTCTGTAACCCTTTTTGAACATATCGATTGTGTAACTGAAAAAATAAATAAAAACAATATTTAGAAACTTCAATTTTTCAACTCTAACATGTTAAAAATACTAATAACAATATTTATCACAAGATATAGGATAAAAATAATTGAATACTTCAACTTAAGTAATTCCGCTTAAACTAATTATTATAATAGAAAAATACTTAAATTTTTCCATAAACATTCATAACAAAAATGCTTTTTAATAAATAATTATGGGTCATTTAAGAATTCTTTTATTACTAAGAGTTATTTGCTTTTCCAAATATATTTTATATATATTTTAATAATTAACCGTTTTCATCTAAATAAAAACTTGTACAAGTTAATTTAATGATAAAAAAATATATTTTATAAGAAAGCCCCGAAAGGAAATATTTCTCATCTAAATACTACAAATTATAACGCAAAAGATCAGTTTTTTTTTTAATTATTTCCAATCAGCATTATATAATAAAATAAATTAGTATTACAGTTTACGTGATGAAATTGAAATGCAATTTTTATGTAATTATATAAAATTTCAAACATATAATTGATATTTTTAATTGTTAATAATTAATATCAATGATTCAAATAATAAACAGTCATATTTGTAACGTAATTAATTCATTGATTAATAAATTAATTGAAATCCATATTAAGTTCAATTATTCATATTTATGTTATCGATAATTATGTTTTTATAACTGCGCTTTTACGTAATTGGTAATTATTTCAAATGAATTTATAGTTTTTATCATATAATCGCAACTTAATTTTGATTACCATTTTTTAATTATTATAATTAATATGCGATTATCGATTCTAATTAGTACAAGAAATATGTTGAAAATTATAAAAAAAAAACGTTATTTTTACGTTTGAAAAAAAAAGATCTAAACTAAAGCGATTCTCAATCTTTTTGCCACGTGACCAAATATAATTCTTTGTAGTTGTACAGCGACCCAATTACCACAAACATAATACTCTTGACGCTCGAAATGACAGCTGTCACTTTGCGTCAAAGTTGACAGCTGTCATTTCGAGACACGTTATAAGTTTTATGCTACTTGTAGGTTGAGAAACGCTGGACTAATTAATCTAAAATTATATGTATCTCATTTTCTTTATCTTTAGCATTATTTTTTTTAAATAAGTTATTTTGCTCGTTATCGAGCTGTATTATTCGTTAAAAAAATACAAACTTTGATTCACAAATTATTTTCATCAAAACTTAACGTTAAAAAAGGAATGCTTATATAATATTAACAAAGAAATATGAAAGCGTATCTTCAGCGATAACAAGAGTTTCAACTTTCTTTGAAGTTATGACAATATCTCTTTCAGTCTCTCGAATCAACCTCCCACATATTACGTAAACAATTTCATTTTTTTTTTTGGGTGGATAAACAGTTTTTTTTTTCTTATTCTTATTCTCGTTCGTCTTCCTTTCTGCCTCCAATTACGTCTGATTTAAGGATGTTGTTTTTGAAAGCGTAGATCTGTCAAGGGCACTCGAGATAACCGACCGTTCGAGAAACGGAGGGCGACTCCACGAATCAGTCGTCCCTTGTTTTCTCCGAAACTTCTTTCCTCCCCCTCGCAAACGTATTTATAGTTGCATAGCATAGTAATAATAATAATTTCCTGTTATTAATCCCAGTCCGGCTCGCCGTTTCCTTACACACACACACAAGGCTATAACAAGATCACGAAAATTAACATCGCTTCATCAATGCCACGTGCGCAGCGTGGAAAATACATCCCTTCTTCGCTATTACATCCGAACGGTCGTGTAGTTTTTGTCCTTATTATTACCTATCACATAAATCTCGCGTAACGATTCTCTTCCATGAAAGCAACATCAGAAAACTGAACTTATTTTTAAACCTTTACAATTTATTCCTTCCGATCCACAACATTTCCAAAATGAAACTTAGAAAACACAATCGACGTATTTATGGACTTCGAAAAAAACATAAACCTAATGTCAATCATATTATTACGTCCGACATTCCGAAATGGATTTTCTGTTTATCGAAGCTGCTGAATATTTTTAGAGATCGGTTGCTACACGATTCGTTCCAAAAAAACCTTGACTACGGATTGTTTTCATAATAATTAGAATATTTACACATTCCTGTTGCCGGGAATCACGTAACTAAATTTGACTGAAAATACTTATTTTGAAACTTTAAGACCACCCCAAATACTAATAAAACAAAGAGTATTTAGTGAAACGCGATGATTGATTTACATTCTCCGCCGATGTTTGCTCATTTTTTATGAAATAATTTATCACGCTTTAATTACTACGTCGTAATTTGTAAGAAAAATATTCGATTTTGAAATATTGGAAAGAGATTAGAGTTTTGTTATCAAATTAGTTACAATACATTAAGACTACTAATAGCTTCCTTTGAGCCTAAACGCTCGTTAATTGAAATCTCTTAACTGCATTTCTAAAGATCAATTAGCTGGAAATTTTATCAATGATTCGGTTTTTTTTGTGAAATCTCCGATTCGGATAAACTCTTCGCATTTCTGACCGTTATAATTACCCATTCTCCATAAGAATTTTTTTACTATTACCAACGTTAAGTGAGTCTTATCTATGTTGAAACGTTTATTTCAATTGCGAGATTTTTATTTTAAAAGAAATAATTAAAAATCTAAGAATAAATTAATAATTTAACGAAATTCTTTTTTTTTCAACTTCTTAGCTTGCACGTGAAATTAATTAAATATTAATTGACTCATTCTATATACTTGAGTAAAAATAATTGCGTAAAAGGTTTTTTTTTCTAAATTTCTATTTAAAATAGAATTTAATTGTGTTATCAAGTGCAGATAATAATAATACAATGAGTTATAAATAACTTCTTGTGTTTCACTGACATAATTTAGTTCATTAGATAGAGCAATAATCAATATCAGTGTTTTGTAATGTAATACTTTAAGCAATGAAGTATTGTATTCTTGTCTATACTTGATACAAAAAAATGTACTTCGGTACTTAGAAATAGTTTTAGATATGTTAACAATACCGACTGAAGAAGTATAAAAGCATTAACTGTACAAAAATAAAAATTGTTCCTCTTCTGAAGGTAATATATCAAGTGTAGATTAATGTTCTATGAGGGATTTAAAAGATAAGTTAATTTGTATACAAGACTAATCTACCGACAAAAATGGAGCTATTAGTACTTATCGGAAGCAAAGTTATCGAAAAATAATGAATGATCTGTAATTTGTCAATTTTCTATTTTATGTGATATCATTTATAAAATTATATATTAATTTCAAGTAATTTATAGATAAGTCCGGATTCACTATAGTCCGGTTTGTAAATTCCTACATAAACTAAAATGTCAAATAAATTCAAAAAAATAGCACACAAAATTATTTTTCAAGTCTCAAGTTTTCGTACAGTTTATTTTTATGTGGTTAAACTCCTCGATTAGTCCGGTTTCAAAGTAATGCTGCATAAGCATGTTTCTGTTGTTTATTACGTTTGATCATTTTTTTCATATTTTAACGTATCTACGTGAAAATATATCAAGTTTCTTAAATAACATATGCAAGCACCAATAGAAAAATACAACAATTCATAAATAATATCTAATTTTAGTAATACTTTTTCAATATGTAATTTTGAAATATTGGTGAAATCACATTACATCCCATAAAAAAAAACATACGTTTGATTAAACAAACGATATAAGAAAATATTTCTATATATATTAGTAATTTCTTGATTTTTTTTTTGATTTCTGATTTTCGTACCTTTATAAAGGTAAATCAGTTGGTAAACAAGATCATCAAAACGATATCATTTGAAATTCGTGTTTTTGACAAACTCATTGACAGTTTTTTGACACAAATGTCAACATTTTTGAATCTGCTTGTAGCAATTGTCAAATGGTATAAATATGTTGGTAAACAAAATCATCAAAACGGTAACATTTGTCATTTAAACTTAGACTTCAAAAACAGCTGTCATTTCAAATTTACTGACTTGATTATTTCATAACCACCAAATTCTGGTTTTTGACAAACTCATGTATTGACAGTTTTTTTTGACATATATGGTATACTTCTTCAGTGAATAGTCAACGGAAAGAGACTAATTTTGAAGAAGTAAGTTTTACAAGTTGATGCAAATTTGACATTGAATCACAAACTTCAAAAGCAATAATCTTTTCAAATTCACTGAAATTGCTGTCATCTAACTGTCATTCAATAATTACCAACTTTTGACTCATTCGTAATGATAGTTAGTATAAATCAAAGCAAACATAATTGAAGATGATTGTTGCAGTTATGAAATATGAAATAATCAAACGTATTTTGCAAAATAATAGTCAATAAAAACGATTTTATGTTGACAAATAAAAGTTTCATATTGATACCAGTTTGTTTGAATAAGTAAAATCAATTGATTCCAAAAATACTAATTACGTTTGCAAGATCAAAGCAAACGCTTCCAATCTAAACATTGTTTGTAGATGTTGTTATTACTACAAGAATTCCACTTATCTCTAAGAAAATAAACTTGTGACTACAATATTTCACATAAACAACGATAATGCAAATAGTATATGACGCATTCTAATAAAAAAAAAACGCAACTACAATTTTCGTTGTGAATAAAAAAAAATATGAATAAGTACACTAATATTAAACAATTACAGTAATACGTCGTATAGTGCGGGTAAGCGGATCCTCTAATATTTCAGACTATATGAAACAGTGAAATATAAATAAAGCGAAATAAAAGTTTTGTCTCTTAAGTTTTTTAAATTTAATATTTATTTTGCTGAATTAAAATTAAGTTTCTTTTCAAATTTTCAAACTGTGCAATAATGGATCCGCACTGATTAATGCCGCACTATGCGAGGTATTTGCGAAAATGGTCAAATTAATTATATAAAATGTATATACAGTGGAACCTCGCATAACGAGTTTAATCCGTTTCTAAATTTCCGGATTTTTACTCGTATAGTAAAACATATTCCAA